AGCCTCCAGACATTGCTTTGAAAGAGGTTCTTATCTTCCTACTTTATGTGTGGGGCCTTGGGCAGCTGGGGCTTGAGGAGGAGAGCCAGTGAAGAGCAGCCCTGGATAAATGGCCTGGGGACTAGGTGGCTGGGGGAAGGGCATTGGGCTGGGTTTCCTGCCTTGGCAGCCTCTGCTGCCCAGGATTCCCAACCACACTGCCATGGAGGCTTACAGGACTGAGCAGTCTCTAGTAGCCCCCTCTCAGCCCTCTCCACTTCCTGTCATTGTGGCTGAAGGTGGGCCCGGCCTGCAGCCTTCAGCAAGTCCCTTTCAAACTGCAGCTCTGCCTCACCCCAGTTCTAAGGATTATACCCAAGGCCCCGAGGCCATGCCTCCCACTCAGGATCAGTTCTTCTGGGGACTCCACCCACTAGGGATTGGGTAAGTAGAAAAGAAGGACAGGCCAAATCAATCAGCCTTGAAGCAGGGACATTAAAATATTGGGTTCCCTTTTCACCAGATGGATCAGGGCTCAAAAGATCAAGCTCAAGGACAGAGCGGGCACCTGATATTATCATACTTATGCTTACCAAGACTGGGTGACTCATGAGTGTCTACACAGTAGCTTCACATGCTCTGTGTGTGTGTGTGTGTGTGTGTGTGTGTGTGTGTGTTTGTCTATGTGTGTTGGACAAACATTAACGTGTTAAGGCCAAGGATTGGGAGTTATCACTAGTCCTGCAAAAAGATGGGGAACCAAAGACTAAGAGAGGAAGTAACTTGCTCAGTCACAGCAAGAAAGCTACAGTCTCAAGCCAGCCTGACTCCAGATCTATCTGGGCTCCTGGCAGTGGCCAAAGGGAGCCACCTTGTCCTCTGGAGCCATGGCCGCTCTAGGTAATAGGGGAAGGGAGAGCAGGCGACCTCTTTGAGGAGCCTGGGAGAGTGGCCTAGGCCACAAAGAGAGCTGCTCTTGAGGGGATTTCAAAGGCAGTCACCATGGGACCCAAGGAGCAGCCAAGTCTCGGCCATTTAGCTCTGTTTCTGCAGGGGGGATACAGGGGGTGGGAGGGAATGGCCAAGGGACTTGAATCCTGAGCTAACAGGGATGCCCCACATTCTGTTTCCTCCCACTCACCAATGGCTCACAAAGCAGTCACGCCCCTCTCCTCTCCGGGATTCTCTGTTTTCTAAAATTTGCTGCTCAGTGACTTGAGCCAGAAATTAGGAAATTTTTGTTTCTCCTCTCCTCCTCCAGGATCCACAAGTCCTGTCCCAGATTCTTTTTTCTTCAATTCTACTGTATCTTGTCTTCCCTGGCTTAGGTAGGAGCCTCCTGATGGGTCTGTCTGCTTTCCTGAGCCTTCCAACCAGATCACTACCCTGAGATAGCTAGAGGGATAGTTCTGGCATCCATACCTGACCCTAGGGCTCTCCTGTCGAGACCTGTCTAGGGTTCCCCATCCAGTTAGCAAGTGTAAACTTCTTAGGTTGGAATCAAGAACTGGGTAGGGGAAAGAGGGTGCCCACAGACTCTGCAGATGTAGCTGACATAGACTGTGTATTTGTTTTTCAAACCAAAATAACCATCTTATTTTTTATTCTAAAAAAAATCCTTCAAATATTTAAAGGTAAAAAGCCCCACAGATGAAACAGGTGCAGCAGTGCATGCCTGTAATCCCAGCTACTCTGGAGGCTGATGCAGGAGCATTGTGAGTTTGAGACCAGACTGGGAAACCTAGCAAGACCCTATCTCAAAAGGTGTGGAGATGTAGCTCAGTGGTAGGATAATTGCCTAGCCTGCTTGAGGACCTGGGTTTCATCTCCAAAAACCAAACACACAGATATATGTATGCATATTACAAACTAAAGAAATAAACCACCATAAACATTTTGGTACCTTAATGAGCAATCACTTGCCTAGCCAGCCCCTCTCCCCCAGGTATTATATCCAGCCTAAATAGATGACTTCTAACCCACCAAGGTCTTTTTTTTATCTTCTATAAACTTTCTTTGACTTTTCCTGTAGAACCAGGTCACTTCCTAGGGGAGTTATCCAAAGGGGCAGGAGAACTTCATCCCTATCCCACTCTTGCAAACATCCCTCTTTGGAATTTAAGGCCAGTTCCTCATTCCTTCTTTGCCTCAATGCCCAGATATGTTTTCAGCCCCAGCCACAGTCTCCGTCATTTTTAGAGTGAGGTCCTCTGAGTTAGCTGTGCAGGTTGTTCACTGCACGTGACATCTGGCTGATGAATGACAGACTAAAATTGACTTCACATTCAGGTTGCCCCCTCAGTGAGCTCTGGTGAGAGGTTGATTCCACCTGAAGAAGATCTGCTTCTTTCTCATTTGCACAAAGGCACTGAATGGGTCCTGTTGAGGCCAGCACCCTCAAGGTCAGCCAGATGGTGAACTGAGTTCTTAAGCAAAGGAGCTGCCTAGATACATTCCGGCAGGGACAGAAGGAAGTACCACATGGACAGGAAGCATTTAGTTGATGCTTGGGGAAGGCTGATTGCCAGACTCTGCTCTTGGGACTCAATATGGGGTCTGCCAGAGGAGCTCATCTCCTACCAGCCCAGGTCCTAGGTCCTCACTGGAGAAGGGCTGGATAAGGGGGATGCTGACCTGGAATAAGGCATACCTTACTGCTTCCAGATTCTTAGAGGGTGCTTCAAGGTCTGTCCTTCACAGTGAAGGTCATAACCCTTAGCATGGAGGGAAAACCTGGCACGGACCAAAGAGACCATTTGTTCTACCTTCTATCTCCACTTTACAAACAGGAGAACTAAAGTCCAAGGACTAAAGTCACATGAAGTGAGGGACATCTGCTGAAACCTTATCAAGGCCCTGATCTTCCCTCCCTCCCTCTGCCTCCTCAACCCTGCTCCACCTTTAGTCTTCCCCATCCAATCTGCTCTTCTCTCAGCCCTCCATCACTCATACACCCTGATTCTCCCTCAGTCCTCTCAGTTCACCCTGCTGGACCCTCACTCCTCCTCATCCACCCCCCTTCTCCCTGTGACTCCCACATCCACGCTGCTCCTCTCCTCCATCAGTCCTCCTCATTGACCCTGATCCTCCCTTAGTGCTCCTCATCCACAACCATCTGGCTCCAAACACCGTCCTCCCCATCCACCCTGCTCATCCCTTAGGTCCTCTTCATACACCCTGTTCCTCCCCCAGTGCCCTCCATCCTTCCTCACACCTCTACATTAACCATGCTCCTGCTTCAGTCCTCTCCATGACCCCTGAACCTCTCTCACTCCTCTTCATCCACAGTAAACCTAATCTTCCCTCAGTACTCACCATCCAGCCTGCTCTTCCCTCACTCCTCCTCCCTCACTCTTCTCTGTCCATCCTGCTCCTCCCTAATTCCTCCTCATTCACCCCATTCCCCACAGAGTACTATCTTACACACCAATTCTTCCTGACTCCTCCTACTCATTGACAAACATCCTCCTCCTCCCTCAGCCCTCTCCATCTACCCTGATCCTCCCCAAGTCCATCTTGTCCTTCCCTCAATACTCGCCATCCAGGCTGTGCCTCCCTCAGTCCCCAATATCCACTCTGTGCCTGCCTCTACCCTCTTTCCTGCTCTCCCCTCCTTCCTACCATCCATCTGCCGCCTCCCTCATTCTGCCTTGTCACCCTGACAACTCCTTAGGTCTTCCCCATCCATCTGACTCCTCCCTCAATCCTCTGCATCTGTACTGCTCCTGCCCCAGGACTACATTGATTACCCAGCACCTCCCTCAGTCCTCTAAATCCATCCTCATCCCTCCATCCTCTCCATTGTTCTGAACTTCCCTGGCTCCTATTCATCCATGCCCCTCCTGCCTCAGTCCTCTCCATCCACCATCCTTCACCCTACATTCCTCATCAGCACTCCACATCCAACCTGCTCCTCTTTCCGTATTGTCCATCTGGTCCTCGCCTCCCCCTCCTAATCCATGCTGTTCCTCCCTTGGTCCTCTTCCTTTACCGTGTTCCTACCTCGGACCTCTCCAGATAGCCTGAAACTCTCTAAGGCCTCACAGGCTCTCATTGAGAAGGAATGTCTATGTGTCCTCACCCCCCACACTACTCCTTGCTCTATCCTTTGCATCTACCCTGCTATCTGCACATTCCTCTCTGTTCAGCTGATTCCTCCTTCAGCTCTCTGCATTCGACTGCTCCATGCTCACTACTCTTGACACCTTCCCCAGTCCTCTTTGTAGACTCTGATACTCCGCTGGCCTCTCCATCAACCCTTCCCTTCCCTCACTCATGCCCATCCACTTGGCTCATCCCTCATTCCTCTCCATTCACCCTGCTCTACTCTCACTCCTCTCCAATCTTCCTCCTTCTTCCTTCCTCCTCATACATCTTCATTCACCCTCATCCTCCCTCTTCCTTCTTCATCCGCACACATCTTGCCCCTCCATCAGCCATAACTTGCTGCTCACTCCCTTCATATCCAACCTGCTCCTGTTGTGCTCCTCTCCACCCAGCCCCATTTCCCCCCTCCCTCTTGCTTTCCTTCCTGGCTCCTCCTTCCCATTTATCCTCCTTCACCTTCACACTACTCATCTAAAAGCAATCCTGTTCCTCCCTCAGTCCTCTCTATTCAGACTGTTCTCCTTCACCCTTACCCATAAAACCTGCTCCTCCTTTAGTCCACTATATCCACCTCCTGCTCCTCCATAATTCCTCAACCACAAAAATTCTCACTGTATTCCATTCACAGTGATCCTCCCTCAGTCCTTCCTATCAACACTTCCCTTCCATCTTGCCAACTCATAAAAAGAGCACTTGTTGTCCTCATCATTCGTCCTTCTCTAGGACCTTTCCATCCCTGTTGCCCCCCACCCCACATTGTCCTCTGTATCCATCTGATGCATTCCTCTAACTCAACCCTATGTTCCTTGCAGTTGTCTCCAGGCATCTGGCTTCTTTGGTCCTCCCCATTGACTCTGCTCCTCTCTCAGTTCTTTCCCTTAAACCTACTCAACCTTCAGTTCTTTTTTTTTTAACAGTTTATTATAATTTATTTTATTTAACAATCTAGGAAGTTCGCAGCCATCAGTAGTTCCAATGCGATTTCAGGTGCAATTGGGAATTCGGGAATCTCGGTAGAGCTGTTAGTGTAGCGAACCTTGTAGGTAAAATACATGCATACTTTTGATAGCACATGAGATGGAATTTCTCTAAAATTGACCTCATTAGTTTCATTTTCGGCAAACTGACCTGGGCCACTCAACATGGCTTTTATTGTTCCTGATGTTAGTGTATGTTCTCTTTTTACAATAAATTCATGACCATCAGAAGATATCAATTTGACATACATGGCATCAGGGCCTTCATAGCCACCATAGGTTTTCTCTTCTCCATCCATTATGTTCTTATAAATTCTAGTTTGGTTCCACAGGAACGTGAGTAGTTTCTCGTCAGCCTCGCAGCCACCGCAGCTGAGTCCCCTCTTACCGCCACAGCCCCTACTCCAGGGCCACCCCCCCCACCCCCACTCAACCTTCAGTTCTTGATCCCGAATGTGGAAGGGTCAGGAGGCAGCATGGTGGATAGAGAGGACCAAGGTGGGAATAGTATGGTTGGAGATGTCTACCTGGAAAGAAGATTGTTGTGGATGAAGGGAAGTGAAAAAGGAGCAGTGTGTAAAGGAAAAAGAGATGAAAGAGAAATGCGAATGAGGAAGAGGGGCATGGTGGATGAAGAGCACAGAGAGAAGCAGGATGGATGGAGAGGACAGAAGGAGAAGGAGAGCTAAGATGATGAGGAGGGTTGAGGGATCAGGATGGACAGAGAGGACTGAGGTGGGAGAAGGATGGATGGAGAGGAGTGAGAGAGGATCAGAATGTATGAATAGAACTTAGGTAAGAGCAAGTCCAGATAGAGAGGCCTGTGAGAGAAGAAGGGCTGTGGCAAGTAGGAGTGTTGGAGAAACAGGATGGATGGTGACTTGTCCATCCATCAGTCCTCTCTATCCCTCCAGCTCTCCCTCAGATCTCTTCAACCTCCATCTCCTCCATCAGACCTCTCCTAACATCCCACTCCTATAATCAATCCATCAATACCTTTGTTCCAAACTGTTCCTCTCCCAGTCATTTCCATCCATCTATATCCTCCCTCATTCCTCTCCTTCCATTCAGTTCCTCCCTTAGTCCTCTCCTCCCAATGTGTTCCTTTACTCAGTCTCCTCCGTCCATCCTGATCTTACCTCAGTCCTCTCAATAAATCCTGCTCCTCCCACAGTCCTTTCCATCCATCCTTCTCTCCCTTAACCCTCTCCTCCCATCCTGCTCCTACGTTAGTGTGCTTCTCCCAGTCTGTTTCTCATCCAGTCCTTTCCACCCAGTCTGGTCTGCTCCCAGTCCTCTTCATCCATCTTGGGTCCTCCCTCACTCCTCTCTATCAACCCTGCTCCTCCCCTAGTCATCTCCTAACCAATCCTCCCCTACTCTTCTCCATCCATCCTGATCCTCCCTCATTCTTCTCTATTCATCCTACTCCTCCCTGAATTCTCTCCTCCCTCAATCCTTCTCATCCCAAATTTCTATTTCTCCCTCACTCCTCTACATCCATCCAATGCTTCCCTCACATATCTCCCAATCTGTACTTTTTCCAAGTCCTTTCCACTCACTCTGTTCCTCCCATTGGTCTTCTCCTCCCAATCTTCTCCTACTTCCAGTCCTCTACATCCACCGGGCTTCTCCTTCATCCTCTCCATTCTCCCTCTCATCACTCAGCCCCCTCAACCGAATCTACTCCTCACCCAGTCCTCTCCATCCATCCTGCTCTTCCTTCAGTCTTCTCCTCCCAATCTCTTCCTCACCTCACCCCTCTGTATCAATCCTGATCCTCTCATTCCTTTCCAACTATCCTGCTTCTCAGTTTTCTCCATCCATTCTGTTCCTCCCTCAGTTCTCTCCATACACCCTGCTTCCCCATCCGTGCTATTTTTCCATCCTGCTCTTCCCTTGGTTCTCTGCACCAATCCTAGTACTTCCTTAGTCCTCTTCATTCATTATTCTCCTCCCCCAGTAATCTTCTCTCAATCTCTTTCTCATCCAGTCCTCTCCACTCCCTCACCCCCCCTCATCCCTCTTCATCCTTTTCCTCCCTCAGTCCTCTCCATCCATGCTCCTCAATGCTCATGCCCACTCCTCTATGTTTCTTTTCATATGATCCTCTCCAATCACCCTGAAACAGAATGTGGAAGATCTAGGAAGAAACATGGTGGGTGAAAAGACTGAGGTGTGAGTAGGATGGTTAGGAAGTACTGAATGAAAAGAGGGTTGTTTTATTGGAGGAGCAGTGATGGAGGAGCAGTATGGAAAGGAAAAGGGATGGAGGAGCCATGTGATGAGGAGGCATGATGGAGGGTCGTGGTCAATGTAGAGGGGAGGGTAAGGAGTGAGGATGGAGCATTAGGGTGGAGAGGACTGAGGGAGAAGCAGGACTGAACTGAGGAATGAAAAAGGAGAGGGAGGGATATGATGAAGACGAATGATGGAGAAACAGGATGGATAGAGGGAACAGAGAGGAACAGGGCTGGATGGAGAGGACTGAAGAAGGAGGGCTATGATGATGAGGAATGATGGAGGAGCCGGGTGGATGGAGAGAACTGATAAAAGGTTATGGTGAGGGAGGACTAACAGAGGAGAAGAATGGGTGGAGAGGACTGGGGTAAGAGCAGGAATAGATGGAGAGATCTATAAGATAAGAAGGAGGGCTGTGGGGGTGAGGGGTGTTGGGGGAGCAAAACGAATAGTGAGGACAGAGGTGACCTGTCTATCCATCTAGCTCCTGGCCCAGTCCTCTTCATCCATCCTACTCCTCCTTACAAAAAGATTTTCATTTCTCCTGTACTTATACACCCCTCCTGGTCTTCCTTCAGCTTTTTCTTCCCAATCTGTTCTCCCCCCAGTCCTCTTCATTTATCCTGCTCCTCCCTCAGTACATCCCATCCTGCTTGCTCCTCCCTCAGTCCTCAGTTCTCCTAGTTCTCTCCTTTCACCCAGCTTCTCCCTCAGTTCTCTCTTCCAATCTTTTCCTCCCTCTAGTACTGACATCCATTCTATTTCTTCCTCACTACTCTCCATCCATCCTGCTCCTCCTTCATACCTCTCCACCCATTCTGCTCCTTCCTCAGTCCTCTTCTTCCAATTTGTTCCTCACCCCAGTCTTTTGCATCCTTACTGATCCTCTCATATTCCTCTTTATCTATCCTACTCCTTTTCCAGATCTTTCCATTCATTCTGTTCCTCATGGAATCCTTTCATTTTAATGTGTTCCTCTCTTAGTCCTTTCCTCCCATCCTGCTCCTCCTTCACACTCCTCCATCCATCCTGCTCTTCTCTTAGACCTCTCTTTCTAGTCTGCTCCTTCCCAGACTAGAAAGAGAGGTCTAAGAGAAGTCCTCTCCATCCACCCTGCTCCTCATCTTGTCCTCCCAATCTGTTCCTCCTCCAGTCCTCTCTATCAAGCCTGATTTTCCTTCATTCATCTTTATCACTTCTGCTCCTCCCTTAGTTATCTGTTCCTCTCCTAGTTCTCTCATTCTGTCCTGCGCCTCTCTCAATATTCTTCTCCCAATATATTTCTCACATCAGTCTTCACCACCCATCCTGATCCTCCCTCTCTATTGTTCATCCATCCTGCTTTTCCCTCAGTCCTCTCCTCCCAATATGTCCCCCCATCCCTAGTCCTCTACACATATCCAAAACTTTCTCATTCCTCACCATACATCCGGGTCCTTCCACACTTCTGTTCTTCCATCTCGCTCCTCCCTCAGTTTTCTCCACCCAACTTGCTCCTCCCTAACTCCTCCTCAGCCTATAATTTCTGTTTATTCCTCACTCCTGGCTATCTGTCTTGTGTTTCCCTCATTCTTTTCCTCCAAATCTGTTCCTTACCCGGAGTCCTCTCCATCCATACTGATTCTTATCCACTCCTCTCCTTCTACCATGTTCCTACCTCCCTTAGTACTTTCAATCCATCCTGCAGCTCCATAACTCCTCTCTATCTCACCTGCTCCTCCCTCAGTCCTTTCTATCCATCCAACTCTTCATTCAGTCCTCTCTGTATATCCTGCTACTCCAAGAGATGTCTACTTTCAATATGTACTTCCCCTGGTCCCCTTAATCCATCCTGACCCTCCCTCATTCTTCTCTATCCACCCTTCTCCTCCTTCAATCCTCTCCATCCATGGTGCTCCATGCTCACACTCACTCTTCTACACTTCTCCTTACATCCTTCTCCCCACTCACCTTGAATAAGGACGTGGAAGAGTTAGAAAGAAGCATGGTGGATGGAGAGTACTGCGGGGGGGCATAGGATGGTAGGAGAGAAGTGAGTGGATAAAGGGTTGCTGTGGATGAAGAGTAGTGAGGGAGGAGCAGTGTGGAAGTGAAATGTGGATAATGAGAAGGAATGAAGGATCATGGTCAACATAGAGGAGAGAAGAAGGAGTAAGAATGAATCAGTACAAATGGACAAGACTGAGGTAGATGCAGGATGGATGGGGAGGACTGAGAGCAGAACAAGGCTGTATAGAGAGGACTGAAGAAGGGAAAGGGCTATTTTGAGGAATGATGGAGAGAACTGATGTAAGGAGCAGAATAGATGGAGAAGACTGAGAGAGGAGCAGGGCTGGATGCGGAGGACTGAAGAAGGAGGGCTATGAAGAGGAGGAGTGATGGAGGAGCAGGATGGATAGAGAAGACTGAGGAAAAACATTGAATGGAGAGGGCTAGAAGAAAAGAAAGGGCTGTGATGATGAGGGATGTTGGAGGAGCAAGATGGATGCAGTGGCCTGAGCTGGCCTGTCTATCCATCTGGCTCTAGGCTCAGTCCTTTATATCCATTCTGCTCCTCTCTCTATACATCCTGCTCTTCCTTCAGTCATATCAGCCATTCTGCTTATTCTTTAGTCCTCTTATCCCAGTCTCTTCCTCCATCCACCCTCTCTAGCCATCCTGACTCCCTCATTCCTTCCTATGCGTCCTGATTCTCAGTCCTCTCAACCCAACCTGACCCTCCCTCACACACCCTCACCCAAAAGTTCTGTTTCTCCCATATTCCTCTCCATCTTCCTCCTCCTCCTCCTTCAGTCCTCTCTTCCCAATCTGTTCCTCATCCTTTCCATCTTTACTGATCCTCCCCATTCCTCTTCATCCATCCTGCTCTTCACAAATCTTCTCCTAATCTCTCTCACCCCAGTTTGCTCCATACACTCTGTTTCTCTCTCAGTTCTCTACATCTAATTCTTCTCCTCTAGCTATCTCAAATAATCTGTTCCTTCTCAGTCCTCTCCTCCCAATATGTTCCTCACCCCATTCCTGTACATACATCCTGATCCTCCCTCATTCCTTTACATCCATCCTGATCCTCTTTCACTTCTCTCCATCCATCCTTCTCCCTCCATCCAACTTGCTCCTCCCTAACTCCTCCTCACTCCAAATTTTTTTCTCCCTCCCCTTCAGTCTTTTCCTCCCAATCTTTTCCAT